GGCATAATGTTACTGTGTTTGCTTAAATTTCAAGAGTTAATCTTTATCAAATATTATCAGCAATCATAAGCAATGATAATATTAGCAAAAGAATGATCATGGTTATATCATGAACCATATAAACCATACCCTCTACCATATACACCCACAAGCAGGAGTCCTCTGCTCACACCTTAGGAAGAACTGTATAAATAACAACTTGTCTATCCTTTAAGTGTTAGCCTGAATGTTACTTCCTTTGGGAGGATTTTTTATATTTCTCTTCCTTCAGAAGGTAGCTATTTCCCACTGTGGGCACCCATAGCACCCTATATGTTCCTATTATAGGAGACAGTGCATCTCACTCTCATTGTTTGCTTCATTAACTATTTTCCCACTAGACCATAGGTCTATGAACACAACTACCATATCAGTCTTGCTTACCATTTTATCCTCAGGGTCTGAAAAATACTAAGAATGTTATAACCAGCTGAAAAATGAAGGAAGAGAAGAAAGAAGGAAGGAAAGAGGAAGAAGGAACTTTTCAACTATTAGGGAAGCCAATTGTCAGCTTATTTAGTATTTAAAATGCAATCATATAGTCAGTATTCTTGGAAATTCTTCCCTTGTGACTGGGATTTCACCAACTCCTTCCTGTACTTATTGAATTGCTGAAAATAATAACAAAAAGTGTTATTTCCTCCTCTGATTCCTCTAGGAGATGAAGACACAAATCACTGAATCCAAGTGACTCAAGCCAAAGTGGTTCTTCTTGGTCCTTACGTCATTGTTCTGGAGTCAGCCCAGCTATCCACACTATACCATCTGTACGGTATCCTAAACATCTCTTGCTTTCCCAACTGACCCTTGCCTGCATTGTTAGATTCTCAACTGTTTTCCCTTGACTCATCTCCCAAAGTACAGATGATTATCCTCAATTCTAATGGAAGGGAGAGAGAGTGTGGATCAGCCAAAGTGGGTTGTCCAAACACTGTCTCTGTTTAGCTTTCAAAAGCATCATGTAAATTTTCATATTACAGGAATTCACCCACTTCTCAGAAAACTGACAATTCTTATAAGTGGCAGTCCAAATTTGGAAACCACAGCTGTTTTTAGCAATTGAGTTATTGCGTTTCAGGTGCCAAAAATATCACCTATCATACTCTCCAGGGTTCAAAGAAAGAGAAAGAGAAAAGAAGCAAAAAAATTGAGGATAAAGGTAGCATGAAGCTTCTTCAGTTACATAAATTATTAAAAATAACTACAATAACTGAAACCACAATAATAATAACATAAAGAATCAGCATTCAATAGCAGTGAACAAAAAGAAAGGGCTTTACATACCCTTCCTAATCTTCCCAAGAAGGAAGGTAGTGTTCTTAGCATCTTAATTTTACAGATAAAGAAAGAGAATCAGAGAAATTAAATAATGTCCCAAGGTCACACCACTAAGCCTGAACTCCAACCCAAGCCACGAGACTTCAAATCCTGTATCCTATTTCTTATTCAAACAGGCTCACCACTGATTTACCTAACCAATCCCATAAAAATCCATTTTGGAGGCAAATTGACCCTTTTTCTGTCACTGTGGGCCTGCGGGGAGGGGGAGAAGGATGTTATTAGGACTGCTCTGAACTTCCCAAAGTACAGAAAAAAGCAAAGATTTCATTTCCAGCTTTTGGATGTGGGTTCCACGTAATATTAAAATCTTACTTGGCTCATGTCCAAACTGATTTTGGGAACTCGCAAGAAAGCAGTTTGGTCACTCTGCCCTGGTTTGCACCTTGGACTCTAAGTTTCTATACTCCCTTCCTACCCACAGGGGACTTCAGGAACAGGAAAAGCACCTTTTCCACTGGCAAAGCTTGGTGACCCTTCTCTAGTCTTCTACCAGCCCTCATCTCCCCAGGGCAGGCCAGTACTTAGCACATCCTGGGCTGTGGTGAGAGACCTCATCCTGAAGACCCTAACAACTGGGTCCAGGCTGCTGCAGTCAATGGAGAGCCTACCCTGTACATCAAGTCTCAGGAAGTCTGTGATCAGGTAATACCTCCAGCAGATACCCATGTAAGGCAAAATCTGGCAGCAGCTTTGTGAGAGAAAGCTGGAAAAAGAAAACTAGGAGGGAAATAACTGAAAGGGCTACTAAATGAAACATGGATGATAGAACTTTGGCAGACAGTATTTTCCAAAAATAACTGCAAAAATATTTCTGGTCCTATACACTCTTCTTGAATCCTGTCACTCCCCCACCAAGCAGAGTTTATTTCCTTTCCCCTTGACCGTCTATCAGTCTTGAAGTGTCTCAATAAATTATTGTTGAAGCGATGCCCTGTAACTTCTGAGAGTAGGTTAGAAAAGGTGATACAGTTTCCACCTGGCTCTCTTGGGTTTCCGGCTTTAGAACCTTGGGAGGAAGCCCAGGCTACAGAAAGAGCTCAGATGTAGGTATCCAGTTATCAGTCCCACAAAGGTGCTAGTTGACAGCTGGCATCAACTAACTGCCACATGCCTGAATCCACAAGCTTTATAATGATTCCTTTTGAGTCACAACAGCCTTTGAGTCTTCCAGTGAAAGCTTCAGACATGATAGAAGAAAAATAAGTCATCCCACAGTTCTCTCTGGGAATTCCTTACCCATAGAACCCACGGGCATAGTCAATGGTTGTTTTAAGCCACTAAGTTTTGGGGTTATTTGTTATGCAGCAAGACACGATCAGAACAGGAACTGAAGCCTGAAGGGACTTCTGGGTATGTTCTATTTGCAATAGCAAAAGGTAACTCCGGGCCCTAATGCAAATTCTAGCTGTCGCCTGCCATGTGCCTTCTACATGTAGGTCATTTGTTTCTCTTATAAGTTCCATTCTTTCTCCCTGCAACTGCACTTTGCCCTCCTCATCCAAGAGACATGTTTTTAAAGCTCTGAATCTTAACTGCGCACACAGAGTTTGAGCCTTTTTTCCTTTGGCCATGCCTACTACACAAACCAGGTGATAAGCTTAGCTTATTAATTTCAGTCTTTGAACATTCTCTGATGGTTAAGGAGTATGCAGTAGTGGAGGGTAATGGGTTGTGGGAAGAAAGGAAAGAATCTAACTCCTGACACCTTTGCCTTAGTTCTGACTTGGAGCTTTTTGTTCTACTTAAAAAATTATACGACTACAGCTAGAACCTTCACTGTCAGTGCCATGATACCACTGAATCATTTTATTTCCACTTTGACTAGGTCAAGACCAGAAAAGTAAAAAATACAGGGACTTGTCTATTTTGTACAATGTTGTAATACAAATGCTTGGAATGGCGCCTGGAACACAGTAAGCACTCAATAAATATCTACTGAATGGAAGAATGAATGAATAAATAAATGAGATCTATTTACCCCCTCCATTTAGAGAGAGCATTACTTAACATTGGATTAGCATAATATGCTTAGAAAACTGTAATGTTCAATAGGTTGGCATTGTGTAGCATTAGGTAGTGTTTCTCAACCCCTCAAAGTAAGCATTAAACCTTAAGCTATGAGTTCCTCAAGAGCAGACATCATGTTTTTTTCATTTTGTATCCCAGAACCTGGAACTTTGGTACTTGCTAAGTGCTCAGTAAATATTAAATATTTAAATATTAAAAACTAAATAAATGTCAAACACTGACAGATATTTCAAGTCATTTAGTTCTCCTAGGCTGTGCCCAGTAGATGGCAGTGACAGATGAGAGTACTGGCCAATACACCTGATTCTCAGAGAGGTCAGACAGGGATGCACATGTCCAGAAGTCCTGAGGCTTACCAGTCTCTATAACCTTTTAATAATAAGAGGACTCAAAAGGATATTTGTAATCTGAGTATAACATTTGTATGAATGCAAAAAAGGTTACAGACTTCCACTTTAACAATCAAAAGTGGTTATCTATGATTGCTGTTATTTACACAGGATTTTATTTCACAGCTAATTTTATATACAAGTCATTCATTTATTTGTCTGTTCACTTATTTATTCATCCCATATTAATGGCAGCTGATCTGTTGCTATTTTTCTGCAAAGATTTATTTAATCTGCTCAAGAGATAGTTGAGTGTTCAAAAGGTCCCCATTCCCTGGAGAAGGGCCTGATTAGGTAACAAAAGATGTGAGATCACCATTTTGAAGGGGCAGATGGAAATTGTAGATATAAGATCCTCATGATTCAGAATTAACTAATCCAGTATATTTCAAAATGTGATCTGCATTGGGTAGAGTCACTTAACAGATGACTATTAAATATGGAGATGTCTGGGATCCACTCTAGGCATACTAAGTTGTAATATCAGAAGTGAGATTGGAAACTTTATGCGCAAGCTCTGGTGATTTTGACTCTACTCAAGTTTGAGAACTATTGATCAAAGGTGTCTTGTTAATAGGACCTACATGCAATTGCTTAATATGGCTTTCCTCACATCTCTACTTGTTATCTGGCTGATTCTACAACATCTAGAAATACTATAAATATGGTTCCCAATTGCCAATTCCACAGGTCAAAATTTCACTGAAAAAATGTAATAATTTTCTTCTTCAGCTAATCCAAAATCAACTCCTGCAAAAAAGAAAACAGAGTAAACCTATCCTTAAGAAACTCACAATTTAGAAGCAAAATATTACAAAATATTTGTTACAAAGAACATGTATGAATGACCCACAGACATGGACAACAGTGTGGGAATTGACTGTGGGAGTGGGAGGATGGGACAGGCAGAGGAGAGCAAAGGGGGGAAAATAGGGACAACTGTAATAGAATAACAATAAAAAATGATTAAATAAAAAATAGAGAATCTTTTAAACCTTGGTGTATAACATTCCAACCCTTCTCAATTTGAAAAACAATAAACAATCACCAACTATGAGAGGGAGCTCTGGACCATGCAAATCTGGACTACACTATTTTTCTACCCTGCTTCCCACAGTGCTGACGTCCATCTACGCCCCTGTGACCTTTGCCTTGCCTTACCCCCAGACTGTCTTCTCCTCTTCCCAGGAGGCTTTTACTCACTTTCTGAATTTTCCTAATCTGGTCAGAGAGTGTATCTAACAGGCGAGTTTTCAGGAAGTCCATCACCTTGACCACCCGGCCATCAATGTAGCAACTGGAATAAAAATAAAATAAAAATCAGACAAAATTTTGAGTAGGAGACTACATATACTTCACTAGCCAGAGGTCTCTGTTGCCTGAGAAAAGAGCCCAGGATTCACCTGGGTTCTTATATCCTAAAACGTTTGATCCTGAGTACTTTTCAAGTAAATAATATACTTTTCTCCTTCTTTTTAAAAATTTTATTAAATTTATTGGGGTGACATTGGTTAATAAAATTATATAGGTTTCAGGTGAACAATTCTGTAATACATCATCTGCATATTGCATTGTATGTTTATCATCCAAACTTCAGTCTTCTTCCATCTCCATGTGTGGGCTAATAGTGTGATTTTTTTTTTCAGTCTTTGTCACATGAAACTGCATTGCTTGCTCTATAGGAATAGATAGGAATCTGTAAAACAAATTGGGTAATGGAGAAAAGCTTCTATTTCCACCCTAGGGGGAAAAAATCAACACCTATCCCATACCATCCCTATTTAGACCTTAAAGTAATAAAGGTATGTGAGAGGTTTGAAAGAATACTCAAACATTTTTATAGGTTTCCACACCTTTATATAAGAAAACAAACACCAACCACAAAAATCTGATTTAGTGTACAGTGAGTGGGTCTCAAAAGATTTTACCTCCCTGGACGAAATACCTTATAGTCAACCTTCTTTTACTATCTCCAAAGTAAATGAATGGTGAATGAATGAATAAACAAATAAGTGAGTTGGATATATTAAAGTGCAGGAGCCTTCTCCTAAAACAATAAGAAGGCACTCGTAGGTGGCTGGTGAACAGGTTTTGTTAGGTACCTTCAGTGAAAAATCAAGTTGTCCTGATACTATGCTGTGAGCATTTAACTCACAGTTCCTGCTTCTTGAGGACCCTCTTTGTGAATTCTTACTCTTAAATTCTAAGCTGAGACTGGCCCAGGGTTAGGTGACTCAACCCTTCCCATCCCCATCTTCGCAAAATTCCAAATTAGATCAACTAAACCAATGCTTATGAGTCCCAGGTATCTTTTCCAGCCCACTTAGGTCTCATTGATTGATGGCTAACAATAGATTATTTCATTTTTAACAACACCAACCAATCAGTACACATTATAGAACAATGTGAAAATTCTTTTTTAATGTCAAATTCCCATACCAGTATATGATGTAGTAGAATGGTTAACTTTTTTTAATTGTAAAGCACATGCTCTGGTTGAAGGGAGGGTGGGAGATGACCCCCCCCCGCCCCATTCAGCCTTCCCTTTGGCCTCCCTCACTACCTCAGACACCTCCACAGAATCCAACATTGGTATGTTGCAGAGAGTATGGGTTTTGGAGCCAGAGATTTTTGAGTTCAAATTCCAAATCAGGTATTTCCTATCTATGTGATCTTGCACAAGAGAGTTGGCCTCTATCAGCCTTAATTTTCTTATTCTTAAAAGAGAGGTAACATATTAACTTCTCAGTATTAACTAAAGTTTAAGCATATAAACCTAAAGTGTCTGGCACGCAGTAGGAACTAACTCATTTTTTTTCTAATTTCTCTAATTTTCAGCTTACAAAGATGGGGCCATAAACAATATGGGACTGATTAAATTAGTTTGAGTATAGAATTCTAAAAGTGGAGCACTTAGGGAAAAAAAGGTGGTGGAGGAGTGAATGGGAGTCATGCTGACCTCCTCCCCCCAAGACCAAACTGGAAGTGCGACTAAATAGTGGATAAATCACCTGGAAAACAATGGAACGACAGTGGGAGAGGAGCCTTGGAGACATGGACAGACAGTGGATTCGATCTCACACATCCCAACGGGTGAGGAGTGTGGTGGAGGCTTGAGAGGGTGGGCTGGGTGCCCACGGGCACTAGCACCAGAGGGACATTGAAATGGCCAGTTAGCTCCCCCTGAGAAGAATGGGGTCTGAATCATAAACAGGGACCTCTAAACCACAGCAGCTAAAACCAAGAAAATACAGACAAAACGCAACCCTGAAAAGTTTAGGGGCGCTCTCTGCCAGAGACAGGTGGCTGGGGATGCAAAGAGACATTTAAAGGGCCAACACAAAAATTGCAGTGGCAGCCACCCTCCTTGATCTCTGGGTAGAGGCGGCAGTAGGGTGGGCTGGTTCCTGGGAAAAGACTGGTGAGGAAAACTTTGTGAGGAGAACTGAGACGGCGGCCAGTGGAGCCCTGGTGATAACGCACCTCCCACTCTGCCGCTACCATCTCGCTCAGGCATAAGGGAATCAATTAACCTGCCTTTTGTGCACTCCGCACACAGCTTGTGCATGTGAGCTGGAGGGCTGAGTGCAGACTGGCTGGGAGAGCCTTGAAGAGAGACTGGAGACGGAGGCATTAGGGAAAGAACGGGAGGAGGAACCGGGGAGTCCGGACTCCCTACTCATTCTGTAGTCTCCCTTGTGGGCTGGAAAGGCGTGCCCCCAAAGAGGCAGAAGCGGGGCACGCATGAACCAGACTATCTGCGATTGAAACGCAGTCCACACAGGTGGTGGATCCTTGGCCGAAGGGGTCACGGAACTGCCCGGAGGCCCCTGAGGAGAGACTGGAAATGGAGGCATTGGGGAAAGAACGGGAGGAGGAACCGGGGAGTCCCGACTCCTTCTCCTTCCCGTAGTCTCCATTGTGTGGGAAGAGTTCACACACTCAAAGAGCCAAAAACCAAAAACGACACAATAGACACCCCAAAATCACCCAGTGCAGGCATGCACACTTGTGCTAAGTGGCCGGTGAGGGTTGGCGGGCGTGTGTATGGACCTGCGTGGGCTGGCAAGGACTCCCACAGATTGGCACCGATATGGCCTGTGAGGGAGTGCGTAGAGCAGCGAGGGCAGGTGTAAATTGACCCGTGCAACCCGCGATTGCGGAGTGGCTGACAGAATTAGTAGATCCCGGGCCGAAGGGGTCACAGAGCTGCCCAGAATCTGTGGAGACTGGAGACAGGATTAACCAGAATCCTAGAGCTGACTTCCTCCCATTTCCATAGTCTCCATTTGGTGAGGGCAAGAAACTCACCCAAAGAGCCAAAAGCGGGGAAAGGACAAAATAGAAGACCCTAAACTGACCAGTGCCAGGGTGCCCGCCGGCCAGGGAGGCCAGACGAGTACGCGAGGTCGCGAATAAGCCCCCTGGGCTTGGGTAAGCATGCGCGAACCCAGGCGGGCAGGGAATCCGGCCGCGCCGGGGAGTGCGCTCAAGGAGACGGAGTCAGAGTGCAGAGCGATCCAAAGAAATAGACCATCGCTGACCGAAGGGGTCACAGAGCTGCCCAAAGCAGGAGTCAGAAACAGACAGAAGACTCCTGGAAGGCTCAAACAAACGACCCAAGGTCATATAGGGTCAACAACTGACATCATCAGAGGCAGGCCCAGAAAGAAAAATAAAGGGATAAATAAATAAATAAATAAATAAATAAATAAAAAGACCCACCTACTATCATAGAAGTTTAATCCACAAAGTCAGGAAATCTAGATGGCCCAATTGAAGCAGAAGCAAAAATAAATAAATAAATAAATTACTTAACAGACTCTCACAAAAATGGGAAGAAAAAGAAGTTCCCCCCACATGAATGGAAAAGGGGAATCCCCACATAGAGAGCTAAATGAAATAGAGGCAAGGGAACTATCAGACACTGAATTCAAAACAATGGTTCAAAGGAAGTTCAACGAGCTCAGCCAGCTCAAAGAGAACTATGAGAAACTGCAGAGAAACTATCAGGATCTTACAACAAACTATATCAACCTGGAAAAGGTCATAGAAACTATCAAGAAGACATAAGAGGATATGAAGAATATCATTTCTGAATTGAAGAACACAGTAGAAGGAATCCAGAGCAGGCTGGATGAAGCCGAGGATCGAATCAGTGAGATGGAGGATAAGGTAGAAAAAAAGCTCCCAGAAAGAACAAGAAATGGAAAAAAGACTCAAAAAGAATGAAGAGGCATTTAGGGAAATGCAGGACAACCTGAAACGCAATAATATCCGTATAATAGGGATCCCAGAAGGAGAAGAAGAGGAGCGAGGGATAGAGAACCTCCTCAAAAAAGTAATGATGGAAAATTTCCCTAATTTGAGGAGAGAAGGACTCTCATGGATCCAGGAGGCACAGAGGACCCCACTCAAGAGGGACTCAAGGAGGTCCACTCCAAGACACATCATCATTAAAATGGCAAATGTCAAAGACAAAGAGAGAATCCTCAAGGCAGCAAGGGAGGAGGAGAAAGTAACATAGAAGGGGGCCCCGATACGCCTAGGAGCTGACTTCTCAACAGAAACACTACAAGCCAGAAGGGAATGGCAACAAATATTCCAAGCCATGAAAAGCAAGGGCCTACAGCCAAGGCTGCTCTACCCAGCAAGGCTCTCAATTAAAATAGAAGGAGAAATAAGGAGTATTCCAGACAAGAGACGACTAAAAGAATACATCTGTACCAAACCAGCACTCCAAGATATGCTAAGGGGACTGGTTTAAGCAGATGAAGGAAAAGAATGAGAAAGAGAGGAACACAGGTACAAAGAGAAAAGATGGGTAAGTTTCTATCAGTAATATCTCTCAATGTGAATGGACTAAATGCCCCAATCAAAAGACACAGGGTAGCTGAATAGATAAGAAAACATGACCCACACATATGCTGCCTACAAGAGACCCACCTCAGAGCAAGAGACCTACACAGATTGAAAGTAAAGGGATGGAAAAAAATATTCCAAGCAAATGGGCAAGAGAAAAGGGCCGGGGTTGCCATACTTGTATCAGACAAAGTAGATTTCAAAACAAAAGCCATAAAGAGAGACCCAGAGGGGCACTTTATAATACTTAAAGGAAGAATCTATCAAGAAGACATCAACATTGTAAACTTATAAGCTCCCAAAATAGGAGCCCCCAAGTTTATAAGGAAATTGTTGGACAACTTCAAAAAAGATATAGACAGCAACACACTGATAGTAGGGGATTTCAACACCCCACTGTCAAAAATGGACAGATCTTCCAAACAAAACATTAAT